CTTGGTAAAGTCACCGGAGACGTTCCTTTTCTTCCTTCTCATTCCAAAGGGAATATTGAACTTGAATAGGAGGGACTCCGATAGGCATATATGGTCCCCTGACAGGCAGTGGTCTTTATGGATAGAGGAAGAACTAGCACAGAGCTCAATACTGAAGCTGGTGTCTCACACTGCTGAACAAAGGAGTTCCAAGGAGAACCATTCTGTTCAGTGAACCAAGGAGTTCCAAGGGCCTTGGAAATTATTTGAATCTCTACCTCTACCCTTTAGAAACATTCCTTTCTTTGTTGATAGATCATTACAGTCTTTGAGAACAAGGAATGCTCTTCCAGTAAAGCAGTTGTTGGGACAAAGAGGAATAATGCATAATGGATAAAGCAGGCTAAAATCTGACATCGTGCCCAATGACTTCTCTACGAGGAGCATTTTAGTTAAGACACTTTAGTTCTCTGAGGACAGCAAAAAGAAGGGGCGATTATAGCACGTGTTTGTATCCCTGTATAAGCCTATTTTAGCTAGCCTGAGTAACAGTAATAGTGAAAACCTGCTGGCATGGGTAGCACATGCTAACAACTGGAGTACAAGGTCTCTAAAGATCTTGAACCCAGGTCTTCTGAAGCCCATTCCCAGTCCAGTACCCTGTCCACTAGACCACACTGTCTCCAAATTGAGAGTCACATCTAAATGACTTGCTTTTTTTTTTTTTTTTGTCATAACTTAAGCCTACTGCTCAAGAACAGGGTCAGGATCACGTTGAATGTTTAAAAAGTGAAGCTTTGGTCCTAGGGCAAAGATTCCAGGCAGAGTTCCTGTAGAATCCAACTAACTAATGTCCACAACACTTTTCAGAATGCTGCTAAACTCAGAGCCTTGGGTGCCTTTAAGGTTCAAGCTATCGACAACAATTGACTTAAAATAGAGCTCCTGTACTGCTGTATGTTTGTGTCTGTCTTTCTCGCCGTCATGCAAACTGATTCTAAATAACATATAGGATATTGCTTCTCCAAAGGAAAAGCAAGTTCCTGACTCCAACTGAAATAAATTCCAAGTTTGGGAAAGATCAGAATTCTGGTTTTCAACCAAAATGAGTAGGGAGAAGAAGTTATAAGAACTACAAAACTGATGTCACAATATTTTTAAAAGAAAAGGGGGACTCTATTTCAGAAAAACTTCTCGACCAATCTCCAGTTCAAACCATGAATCGTAAACCGAATCCTCTTGAGACATGGCAAATATCAAACAATTCAAATAATCATGTGGATATTAGAACTTAAAACTCAAGAGAACTTAGAAAACTCTTCCCTTTAAACAGTAAAGTAGTGTCACTCTTAGCAACAGTAGTATTACAAGAATTAGACACATTTCACAGCCCTCATGCCTTTTTTTCAGACTGTATGTCAGGCAATTAATACAGTGTGTCAGGACAATTATTTCTTAGCTCATATTTGAAAAGTTTTCTTCGCAAACTAGCAGGACTAGAGACTTGTTATTGAAAAATAGTATTTTAGATACTGAAGTACTGAAAATGGAAACCAGAAAAACTTAAAATGCATTGCACTACCGTGAACCAGCTCAATTCAAGTCAAAGATCTAACTGATTATATCAAGTTTTTGGTTAAGGAAATCTTTCGTTGTCTCTAGTTATTACATTGTATGGGATGGTCAACCCAAGAGTCTACAACAGGGCTGCCCAACTTCAGAGTAGCCAAGGGCTGCCTGTCACAGGTTTCAGGGCCATGGTTGCACACTGGGAGAATTGCATGTCCCCAGGGGCTTTATAGGCTTCCCAGGACCCCCACTGAATGCAGACCCCCTGTTGCCAACATTATGCTGGCAACACCCTGCCTTCCTGGCCATTACCACCACAGGGGCAATATTCCCTACCTCCACTGCTGTTCCAATGCGAACCATGCAAGAGCCCCTATGGCCACCATCATGTGGGCAATCTCTCCCTCCCTTGCTACTACTGTTTAAGCTCCCCATCTGGCCTTCAGCTGTGCTGTCCTACATCAGGGAATCTGCCTGCCATTGCCACTGCAACAGCCAAATCCATGGGAGGAGTGGCACTCGGACAGAAGCCTGTGGGCTACTTCCTCCCAGGCCAGTTGTGGCCTGATCTAGAACATGATTACACACTAAAACTCGAAAGCTCTTCACAGATTCATTGGGGGTTCTGGGGAGTAAGAAGAGGATGCACAAGAAAGGTCTAATTTTCCAGCCATTTTTTGTTTGTAGAATTCTGAAGGTCAGCGTTGAACAATCTGATATGAACTGGCATTTTAAAAGAAAAAGCGAGATTTATAAGGAATGGATGAGTCTCAAAACTTAAAAAAAAATCTGGGAAATGATGGAGATAGAAGTAAAATATTAGAACGAGAAGGAAAGTTGGTAACATTTTTGTTGTTTACATATTAGGCAGAACTAATGAACCATTTTCTGAAACTCAGTCAGTCGCTACTCAGTCTCCAAGTAGATCTAGCTTGGGGTGTGCAAAATGCGGCCCGGGGGCTGGATGCGGCCCGCCAGGTCATTATATCTGGCCCACGGGGCCCCTAAAAGATTAATATTTATTTGCCTTGGGCTGCCTATCATGCGGCCCTCGATGGCTTGCCAAAACTCAGTAAGTGGCCCTCTGCCCAAAATAATTGCCTGCTCCTGATCTAGCCTGATATAAAAGCAAAAGATGCCTTAATGAAAATTTGCTGTCTTAGGCAGCACGTGCTCCTGATGTACCCTGGGCAGAGTAAGCTCTGGAGTGGGGCTGACATTGCACGCGGAACATAGGGCTGGACTGGCCATGTGTGCTACCTGCAACAGAGGAAGCTGTCATGGGTGTGTACTTCATGTGGCACCGCACCGAACCTGCCCTGTACACTGGCTCCATTGTGGCCCCATCTGGCCTACAAGACCCTCATTCAGCCTGTAGGGCTAAATGAGTGACACATGCCTGGTCTACAGCAACGTAACTTTGGCTCAGTTAAAGTTAAAAGCCTGATGTCCTGACAATGGCCTCCTATCTCTTCTAGTTTGTTCTTTTTCCTATGAAAGATTGATTTTTTTTATTTTTGTTTTACAAGCATATACAGTGAACCATATGCAGTGAAGAAAAAGCCAGAAAAGAAATGCTTCTAACCCCTTTTCCTGAATGGGGCCTTGGGATATGTTTAAATATTTGTAATCTTCTACAATGAACATGCCATTGCAATGTATTTTTCATAGTTGTACAACTTCTACCTATTTAAATGTTTTTAAATTTAAAAAGCATTTTTCTTTTCTTCTCATTGTCAAGATATGTAAAAAACAAACAAACAAACTCCATACTTTGAGACCAGGTTTGACTATGTTTTCTGTTTTTATGGTAGTAATTGTGGTTAACTACCTTAGATGTTACTATCCTAGTCAGCTCAAAAAAAGAACTAAACATGTCTACATGAATATCAGGTAAAAATTATTTTCACTTACCACAGAACATACTTATCTTAGACCTTAGGAGCCCTGCTACCAATTAAAAATACAGAATAACTGGTTTGGTAACCTTGTTCTAATTGCAAATGCTATTATTACTAAGTCTGTATTAGGCTGGGCATTTCAAAGAAAGAGAAATCCTGATATTTTTTACTGATGCCCAGAACAACTTTTCAACTAACAGTTACTTTATGCCAGTGCACGTATTTGAATACTACAAGAAACCAAAAGGTTTGGAAGTGCTTGTGAGGGCAGATAACACATTTCTAAAGCACGCCTTTTTAAAAGGGAACAATGACAAGGAAAATATTGATCTTTAAGTCTTACTGTGCATCTGCAGTGCACTTTTACAACAAAATCTTCAGGACTACTACAGCCTAATGCAGCCAAAAAAAAGTCAGATTTACATTATACAACATAATGGCTTTGAATCAGATCACTCTGAAATGGAAACATACGTTTTAAAGCCTCTAAACTGAATTCAATGGCAGCTTCTTCAGGAGGGCTTCCTAGTTCTGATAATACTTATATATGTTATAATGTTACAAACAAAAATCATCCCATTTCTGTCAGGAAATTATCACATGTCAAAAGTACACAGGAATATGTTTTCAAGATTGCGCCCCAAAATACCAGGCACAGCTATATTTGAAACTTTGTGCATTCTTCAATGCAAGATCTTGTCAGACCTGTGTTACTGTTTTAAGCTGATGGCCATGGATATGTTTATAAGCATGACAAATTTGCAATAAAAATTCACATATATTATCTTACTAATGCTTCTAATTGTGAAAAGGCATGACTTATCCATTTTGATACTCATACTGAATTGCTAAAACATTATTTGAGTCTACATATAAGAGATTCTTAATCAATTCAACTCTCTCTCCCTTGATTACATAAGGAGTGTCAATTTAATTATAATATTTTCTGTCATGACGTAGTCATGTGTTTTTTCTGAAATTCATTAGCTCAATAACCTTTCACCTTTGGGCAAATTTCAGAAGTGTTTATTAAAAATAATTTTTTGTTTTTATATGTTACGGATGGAATAAGCCTGTGACCTGCCTCCATATTCAAATTTTCTTCATGTGATCTCAGAAAGTTATTGGCTGTTGTTTCTTAAAAGTCTGAGACACTGTTTAACATTTTCTATTCCTCAGATAAACAGCAGCATAAAAATATTTTCATTGTCAAAAGACTTACTCAATACGTCAGCTTTGTCAGAAGGTGGAGCTCTATACATATCTGTATCACTGTGCTTTATATATGAAATTTACAATTCCCTATAAAGACAGAACTATTCATAAAGCAAAGTCTTGATTTTAGCTACAATATTCAATTTATTTCATAATATTCACATTTGATGACAAGTGGCTCCTACCATAGTCCACATGTTAATGAATTTTCAGTTAGACAAAACACATTAAAAAATGATGAAGCTTAGGAATTAAAACATACCCCCCAAACCTCCCTTCTGTAAAGCTAGGAGTGTCCAGTACCTTTTTTAAGAACATAAGATAATTGATACTTACAGGCATCTCTAATATATAACAACATAGCTACAAAAATGTAGTCAACTAAATCAAGAGTGATGCTGTCAGCAAATAATGCATCCCAAACAACAAGAAGGTCCTGAAGTGGAAATTCTCGTCCAAAAAGCAGTCTAACCCATCGTCTAAAAAAAGAAAAAGAAAAAAAGTAAGCACTTAGTATTTATAAATAATTCCTTTAACATTTATTAATAATTTTGTTTTAGGAAATACTCTTTACATACCAATAGGGTTAGGGGAAGAAATGCATTAAGTACTGCAAAAGCATTATTAATGTTGTGTAGATAGGCCTTGATGGATAAAACTGACATCAGATTGCATATTATCTTTTTTTTCATGTTTATTTTCATATTGATTTAAGAAGAAAGTTAAAAAATATCATTCACAGAAACCTGGAAAAGCAGGAAGGCAGGATGAGGCCAGAGTTTAAGCAGACCCCTAAAAAGTCCGGACAAAGGATATTTTTGAGGCAGATATGAAATAGCTGTCATTATGGGATTGAATAAGTTACCCCAAATGGGTCTCCTCTTTTCCTGTAATTATAGTGTTTTCAGGTATGAGCAAAATATGATGCATATCAATTTGATTAAATATGTCATATTGGTTTCGTATTCAGTAAAATATGGATATCCATCTAGATTACTTGCAATGTTTGCTTGCTCAATGTTGAAAATCTGACAGCATTCTAGGCACGGTACTTTTCACCCAAATCTCCTATCTTCTAATGCCAACTCTGCCACTGACTTGCTCTATGGATTCAAGTCATTTAACCTGTGTGTGTCTTAGCTACCCATCAAAAAGTCGGACTGCTACTACCTACTTACCTAAGGCCTGTAGCAAGGATCAACTTAAAATTTTAACTTTGAAAAAGTATGAAGAATAACTTGTAATATTAATATTTTAGTTATTTCAAAATAGATTTAAAAGGCAATTATTACCATCTTAGCCGCAGCAAGCTAGTATTTCATTCAAGCTAGTATTTACTATATATATTTTTAGTCAATGGAAAGAGAAAATAAATTTATTAGAACTTTCCTGCAAGCAAACTAAGCCATTCTTTAACACTGACAGTTGACACCACAGGAAAGCCTAGAAAGACAGCTTTTATTAGACCAATCCAAATAGTTGGAGAATAGTTATTAAGCAAGCTTTCGGGTTCAAAAACCCTTCAAACCCGAAACCTTGCTTAATAACTATTCTCCAACTATTTGGGTTGGTCTAATAAAAGATATCAAATTCACCCAAGGAACTTTGTCTGCCTATGTCTTTAGACGAACACGGCTACAACCTAAACCCCTAGAAAGACAGCTAGAATTCACATCAGTTAACTCCATAGATATAGATTGTATTGTATTTATTATTTAAGATTACTTCCAAATCTGTTAACCATGATACAGAAGCCATTGTAGCTGTAAGGTACCAATTCATTTGACTCTCGTAACAGAAGTTAATTTCTGCATAAATGCAAGTCAACATATGTCAGCCAAGCACAAATTTAGGAAGATAATAACTGAATGACTCTGTCTATTAATAAAGGGCTTATGCTATGAATCAGATTTAATTCACTTCTCAATATTTTCATTCCAATATCTTCTCAACATTTATGCAGCTGTCAGTGATCTTTGGTCACTGACCCAGTACACTTTAAAAAAAGTCTTCCCAAGATACATAGCTAGAAGATCACTAAGCAGATTTTCACAAGTAATATTACAGTTTAGAAACAAAATATATGTGTAAACTTGGAACATAAAATCACCCCATCCCTGCCTTATGTTGATTTTCTATTCATTAATGTAAGAATTACTTGTCACTATAATGTCCAGTTATAAAGGCAAAGTTACTAGAGACAACAAAGTCTAGTAATAAAAAACAAACGTGTCAAGTTTTGTCTCCCGTAAAACTGAAATCATGCTGCCCTCCACCTCCCATTCCTACTGAATTCTACAAAAACCTATCTTTAGAGCTGAATGTTGCTACAAAAGAGGAGTCAAAGGTACAGTTAACTCAAATCAAGGCTAATCTACCACATTTAATTCTGATAATGTTCTATATAAGGTGTTTTAACATATAGTGGCACATTACCCTATAGTGCCTAGCCTACAGGAAACTATTATCCTATGGTGACACAAACATTATCCAAACTCTGCGTGAAGCCGATTACTTGCAGTAACAACCCCTCCTACCCATAAACCCACAACTTTCATGTTACACAAACTGTTAGGAGCGAAAACTCAGCTAAGCTTGAAGCATTCGAGCTGACTTTGCTCACAACTACCCAAATCTAATTCAGAAGGTTTGCTAAAACTCTTATACACTTCAAGGAAAAAAAATACACCATGGTGTAATGGGATTTGTTATTAGTCTTTTATTAGAAATCTCTCTTACTTCTTTACTACTTCATTATGCAGTGTTAATCGTTTGTAGATGCAGGTTTATTCTGTTCGAGCAGAAGTCATTCTCTTTTTTCCTGCTTTTATATTTTCTCTGGGGAAAGTTAAATCTCAGTCCCCAGAGATATCATGTTTCACAGATGCAGTGCTGAAGAACAACTGGACTTCTTTAACAACTATAATATTATCATTAATGATTTGAACCTCCTTGTCCCAAAGGGAACAGGCAATTCACATTGCTGTAAATGCATATATATTAACTGTTGTCTCTTTTTTTTTTTCAGTAGCATTTAGCTCACAGCATCCATAAACCAAGGACCCTATTGCCTATGAACTATGCTGCCATATGGCATGACTTTAGTGAACCTATACGTTTATAAAAAGTGAACTTTAATCCTTAAAGTAAGTGTCCACGTTGGAGTGTTTTCTTCCAAATGAACATGCTTTTATTGCTCTTACAAATATTTACAGAGAACTTAAGTTGCATTTAATGATAGCATTGGACAAGAAAACCCTTTCTTTTTTTAGACGACTGTCTGTGGTTTAATTATTACTCTGTCCTGTTAATCTTGCTTTACATCTGTTATACCTGCAGTCTACAATGCTCACAATAGTGTACCTTGTATCACATGCAATAATACAGTAATTCATATTTTACCAGACCTACTTAGCAATTAAAATCTGCAAAAATAAAGTACAGAATATTTAAAGAAAAAATAAACCAAGGGTCCTATCATTTGCCTGGTGGAATACATCCCCCTAGCTTCCACTTACGATTCCTATATAATTAAACCACAATTCTCAAGTGATCAGTAATTACTAGCAAGAGAAAATGATTAATTAATGACCTTACTGTATAGAGAAACCAGAAGAAATTGGGTGCTTTGGTAAATATGTTAACCATGGGAAGGACTCCGCTTACTAGGTTTCAATAAAGATTACTTCCATTTTGATTAAGATTTACTAGATATTCCTGGAGGCACTATCAGTTAGCAGCCATAAGATTCATTTATTTGAGCTACTGCTTTGCATGTCCATGCATGCTCTCAATCTTCACTGAGAACTCTGAAATCCATAAAAATTACAGACCTCAGTTATATAATCTTAACAAAGATACGATAGCAATGTGGAGGTAAATGACAGCATGACTGTTGTTATAGGAGGACTGAGAAGAACAGAACATGATACTGGTGCCAGACTGATTAATACGCTTATATGAAATGCCATGACCAGGAATGACAAAATCTTCTTTGGAATATACAGGACACACAAATTGCTCAGTATAGCTTTAGATAAGCAACAACTTATGAGTATTTGAAAGATTTAATGCCAATCTCTACAATCATTATAGGCCATACAGGTAGCAATTCCTATACTTCCGGACACCTGCTATTATAGACCATATTTTAAGGTGCATAAACTGTTGCCAAATGCAATCAATTCATATTAGGATTTTTCATGTCAGATTTCTGCCTTGAACTCATTTTTTCTGAAAGTTCCAGGTATTTTTGAGAGTAAGTTTAAAGAAAAAAAACTGCCAATATTAAAAATATCTTACTAAGTTTTCAGTAGGAAGATGTAGCACAAAAATGTTTTCGAGCAGAAACGTAGTTTGGTAATGGAGGGGTTACTTATATCTTGAATATTAATTTTTATTCTTTTTTTTTACTACATTCATATCTGCCAAATTTCATAGCTGGTAAGGCTCTACAAAAATCTCAGTTTGCACACACACACAGTATTAGCTAGAATCTACTGCAACTACATTTGAAATACCCATCTACATTGAGTCAGCTCCATTATTTCTCAGACTAACATACCAATCAGACTGAATGTACACCATCCCTATAGAGAAGGGACATTCAGATGCAGAAGCTCGGTGAGTAGGAAGGACAGAAACCTGGAAACAGGAGGTGCATACAGGTAAGGAATAGGAATAAGGATATGGGTAGCAGAATTTCAGTAGCATATGAGAAGAGCAGGTAGGTGAAGAGGAGACAGTTCTGGATGGAGGGAAAGGATGTTTGTCAGTAGGGAGAAGGAAGGCACAGAGACAGGCAGAAGCAGAAGGAGGTGAATGAGGGGCTGGGAGGGGCAGGAATGTTTAACTATTAGTCTAGGGACAGACATTCAAAAAGACGGAGCCTGAATTGATTCAATCGTTTCAGGTTAGTCTAACCTGTCTAGACTGAACCAATTTGCAAGCGAATAGATGAAATGTAGGCACATGCCTGCAGTGGCTCGAGCCAGAAGCCAGGAGGCGCTAGAGTGGCCCTCGACGGCAGAGAAGCTGTGCTAGGGGTGTGTGATTAATTCCTCCCCATCCCACCAGCATGGACCCCAAGCTGGGGTCTACCAGGAGCTCCCCTCTCACTGCTGCAGCAGCGGGGCTGGGGGTGTGGCCAAATGCCAGCCGGCATAGGCCCTGTAGGCAGGGGGCAGGAAGGGGGGTTATTTCCCCCTCTCTCTGGAGTCTGGAGGAGGGGGCAGATGGCAGCAGCAGTGGTCAGGGTGAGCACTCCCTGAAGTCTCCCGGGGACAGCGGGGAGAATAACCCCCCTTCCTGCCCCCTGCCTAAGGGGGCTATGTTGCCTGGCCTCTGGCCCTACCCTCGCCACTGGAGTGGTGAGGGGGGAGAGGCTCTGACGGGGGCTGCAGCCCCTGTCACGGTGTCCTGGAGCACGAGCCTCTTCTGGGTGTGGGGGAAAGCACTGCCAGTGGGGGAGGGCAGGGAA